AAAATAAAAATCTAAAAGTTATTACAAGAATTTCTCTGTTTTGCCGCATTGGTGATTTCCCGATTGCTTAAAAGCGTCATTTGTGTTCTTAGTTCTCACCACTAAAGGAAACGAGCCGTTTCATTTACAGTTGTGCTCTTCTCTTTTTTCTGCAGCGCGGACTCCCAGTACAGCACGGCGGCCATAAACACCAACGTGATCGTGTACAGCAACGGCATGGTGACGTGGCTCTCGCACGGCATCTACCGCTCGTCCTGCGACATTGACGTCGAGTTTTTTCCCTTCGACATCCAGGCCTGCAACATGAAGTGGGCCTCGTGGACCTACGACGGCTATCAGGTGTGATATGACAAGCAACAATTTTTGTTTGTTTGTTTGTTTGTTTGTTTGTTTGTTTGTTTGTCATTTCGTTTTACATATTTATTATGTTCTCCTTCGTTTTTTGTTCGCTAACATATGGTTTCCTCCATCGATTCAAGCTTGATCTGCTGAAGCAGACAGAGGACGGGGACGTGTCAAACTATCAGGCAAATGGAGAGTTTGACCTGGTGTCGTTTGACGCCAAGAAGCACGTGGAGTACTACTCGTGCTGCCCCGAGCCGTACCCCGACATCACATACGTCATCCGCATCCGGAGGCGGCCGCTCTTCTACGTCTTCAACCTCATCCTCCCTTGCATCCTCATCAACTGCATCGGTCAGCTGTTCATCTTTACTATGAGTCCCGGACACTGTTGCGCATGCCTTTCCACTGACGTGTCGTGTTGCAGCGCTGCTGGTGTTCTACGTGCCGTCCGAGTCGGGCGAGAAGGTGACCCTGGGGATCAGTGCGCTCCTCTCCATGACCGTGTTCCTCATGACGATACGAGAGTCGCTGCCGCCCACAGAGAAGACGCCGCTCATAAGTGAGTCTACCGGGATGATAGTAAACGTCCTTTACAACAACAAGGCAAAAAGCAACCCAAAAAACGGGAAGAGTGAAGAGGGGAGGTGAAAGGGGAGATAGGATATAAAAAAAAGTAGTTGAAACGAGATTGGTTGGGTATCCAGTTAATCTGCTGAGCCAACAGCAACCTCGTCCCATCCTCGGTCCCCTGAGGAAAAGGTTGCGATGACGTGGTAGGATGGAACTAGCAGAGATATGTAATAAGTCTCGGCCCAGCCAGGGTCTCTTTACTTTGAGCTCCGCCTATAACGCGCTTAGCGTGCGCGTCGTCTCAAACGGCCTCTCGACGCGCGCCGAGTCAGCGGGGAGCGGCCGTGGCCTCCGACCATACACAAAGTCAATGGCCTGCTTTAAGGCTCATGTCAGGGAACCACAAAGAAGGGCGTAGTAGTATCCAAAAAATGGGGAAAAATTTAATTCGAGCAATGTTGTTTGCAGGTCTTTACTACGGGGTGAGCATATGCCTGGTGTCGTTTGCGTCCGGCCTGTCCGTGGTCACGCTCAACGTGTATCACCGCGGCGTGCGCGGCACGGGCGTCCCACCCATCATCAAGACTTGTGTACTGCACCACCTCGCCAGACTCGTGTTCCTGCGATTCGAGCCGCGGGACAAGGCCAAGCCCCAGCACCACAACGTATGTATCTTCAGAAAAACTATAGGGTAATTCACACAGTATCTTCAGAACGCACGAGACATTTGCTGTTGCGGTCGTAAACAAAAAATTTCAACAAACTTTTTTGTATTTTAAGAATTAAGAATCTATTTGTTTTGCGTGCGGAATCGTTTAAAAAACAATGTTCTTTGGATTTTTGAAAAATGCACTACTTCATGAAATTCGCATATCTGTGGGTATATGTTTGCTGCACTGATTTGCATGTAACTTGTGCACAGCGAAAAACTCAAAGTGAAGTTAAAGCATGGTCATCAGGTAATAAGTGTTTGGATTTTGTTTTCCGTCACTATAAGTTTTATTCAAGTTAGTTGTCTTCATGTACCAAGGAACTCCTTCACTATATGCACAATCCTTTTTATATTTCATTTTGCGACATTTCACAAACTTAGGTACTTCAGTACACTATAAGTTCAAAACGTTCGACTCGCATCAGTGGCTGTGGTTTTTCTTTGAACCCATAGCTCCAGGTTGGGCTCATAGCGCCTGGAATGATGCGTGATGCGCTCTCGTCTGAGAGCCAGGTGTGCCTCTTTCCGCAGCTGAGCGAGCACCCGCAGCAAAGTCAGCCTCCTCCATTGCTGCGAGCTGTCGACCTTGCACTCGGCACCGCACCCCCCTGGTGCGTGCATGCGCGGTCCTCATGCACGGTGATGCACTCCCACCCAAGCGCACCATAGAGTGCCTCTCGCCCTCTCGCACCGCAGAAGGGGCGGGGCCCGCGACGCTCGCGTGCACGCGCCACTGCACCGAGTGCGCGCCTTGTGAGATCGCCTGCAGCACCCCCTAAACGAACACCGCAGCGACCGCGCTGAGCCGCCGAGCAGCTTCAGCGCGCAGCTGAGAAGCTGGGAACACAAACGCAGTACAGGCCAAATATTTTCAGGAGTCTGAGCGGGCGGCGCGTGGCTCGCACTGGGCCTACTCGTCCTGCTGGGCGAGCCGCGCTAGCCGCCAGGCGGCGCCACCGACGCCTCGAACGCACCGCGCTAGTTCTTTGACCCTCCTGGTGAGCGCGCGGCGGTATCTCTTTTGTGTTGCCTCGATGTGTCTGTATGTGTATCCGTCACGCTTGGAATGGAAGTTGATCTGACAGTAGTTTGAGCACACTCGTGTCAGCCGTGTCCCGGCATGGTGGCATGGTACCCGTAGCCACAACCACACCCACACCGGTAGCGCCCACCTATAGTTGTTTGACTAGAACCCCAACCACCCCCTTTCCTTGGAATGCCAGAGTTTATTTTAAATTTTGACAAGTCTTAGACACTTGGCGGATAGGCGTCGACTCTTTGGCCGCATTGAATACAAGCGTGCGGTCAGCAGTCGAAATGTGTAGTATCTCGTCTTGCTTAAGGAAATTTCATGCACCCCAAGAGTAGGAATGCAATTCATTTTTCGTTTCTATTTCAGTTGTAAGCGTTAGTTTGGGTCGTAATTTTGCATTCTACAAGATGCCTGGTCGGGAAGACACCAGGTGTATTAGTAGCAAGAGACATACACATACATCCCGACATGTGGCTAACCCTTTCGAAACATCACAAGTTCATTCAGCTGCAAAATCAATTTTGACTGCCTCAGGCAGGCGAAAACCCTGGAATATCCATGAATTGACTTATTGAAGTTTTGCGATTGAGAGTTTTGAGCGACGATTTGAGAGAAGATTTATTTGGTTGTCTATTATCAGCGCTCCGTTTGCTTTGTCTCCCCCGCAAAATTTTGACTAATGCCGCTGACTCCCAGTCTTTTTAAAATAAAAATAAAAAAACAACAACAAAAAACACACCATGGCCTTGCAGGACGTGACGCGACTCGGGCCCCGCCCGGACAAGTGGATCCCTGAGGACGCCACCAACGTGGACCCGCAGCAGATGAGCCCCCGCTTCAGCATTCGGCATCGGACCAACCGAACGCCTGACGGTGCGGCCAACAACCGTAAGTAACACCTTCTACCTACCGCCAAGTTTGTTTGTTTTTTAATCGAACCCGCATCGGGTTTTTTTTATTACAACCATTGCGTAACGCAGGGGGAGCGAGTGTAACGTGCAGACACCACCTGTTGCACCCTGCAGTATCACCATTTGACACACTGCAGTAGCAGCTCCACCCCTTTGTTGGGCGAACCCAAGAGTACTAAAGGATATTTCCATAACGTTTATGCAGCCTGTACGTACAACTATACTGGTGGTCAACTGAACTAAGTGTTGAGACTTGACTTTAGTATCGCCAACTTGCAGCCATCCGTCTAGTTCGACCAGGAAAGGTATCCAGTTAGCGTGTTGGGGGGCGTTCGGTCGTTGGGCGTTTAAAATCGTTGAGGCGTTTTTGTGTTGCAACGAGAGGTGCGAGATATGATGAGGGGTGAGATGCCGCTACATTGTAGGTCGGTGGCGCGGCGCCCGCGGCAGCCTCAGTCATGCGCGCGCCCCATTCCGTGACACGCGCTGCCATTCAAAATCATGTTGTCATATGCCACGCCGCCCCACGTCACCCCCCC